AGTGGTGAATTCTTTCTTCATGCTTCTGCAAATAGCTACTGCAACTATAATTATAGGAATGAATTTAATCCTCAGAATTAAGTAAACGAATAACATACTAATCTTAGGTGAGACTGTATCACGTTCCTTCAGTACTCAAATCATCTATTCAGAAAGAAAGATCAGAATTAATATCATTGTGATGCATAATAAATAAACAAAATACCGTATAGGGGGTATATTTCCTGAGGAAAATATTTCACGAAAATCACCTTTCACAAGGAAAAATTTTTACATTTTTCTTCTACTGACCATTATTAGCATAGTAAAAAAATAATTTTCATAGATAAAAATTTTCACGAATTTTTTAAAACCATGAAATTAGCAAAATTAAATCCCTGTGAAATATACCCCCTATATAGTAATCATGTAAATTTTGGTTATTCATAAAATTAATTTTTGTAGCAATAAGTATTATAATAATACTAATGTGGATATTTTACATTTGACTTAAAAACAAGTTTGGAAGTGGTCCATGCACAAGCACAACTTCTATACATTCATTTAACATACCATCATCAACTCTGATGAATACAAATTCTTCATCACTGGAAAAGTATATCCCTATAACAAATTAAATTATAACCAAGAAGTAGGTATTAGCATTTTACTTACTATAGTCTCTCAGAATACTTTCTCCTAGCTTGACATTACGTGTTAAATGACATAAAACAACAAAGAACTTTTGTAGAGAAACATGGTTAGCTTGAACAGCATCTTTAACAGCAGATAGCAGGATTTGTCGTTTATCAGAAAGAGACAAATTGTCATCTTCCACGTCATTTAACTTCTGCTGTGATATCACTTGCTCTCCATAAAGCAATCTAGCTACATGGACAGGATCAGAAAGAGACTTGGAAAGTGCAGTGAAGTGCTTATTTAAAATGTTAACAGCAAGAACTTCAGGACATCCTACATCCACATAGTACTAAAATAAGGATGATAAGTATACAAATTAACTCACTCTCTTTCTCTAAATTCTCAGCTACTGCAATCTCGTTCATAGCTCTAATGGCAGTTGACAATGAGTCACAGGTAGCTCCTCCTTTATTGACTACATCATCAGCTCTTTCCAGCCACTTAGAGAGACATTCTATTAAGCATTGATTGACATCTTGTGGGTTATTAGCTTTGATGGAGTCCAGTGTCCTTTTTGACAGGCCTAAAGCCAGTCCCAATTCAAACCACCTCTTGTCAGGGAACTGACACTTCCTTAAAAGTACCAAAACGTCATTTAGGCTTACTATAGCTAATAGTAATAAATGACAATCAAATACAGAACTACTTTTTTAACTTAC